TTTCCCTTGAGGTTTGAAATTATAGCATATGAAATTATGGACTTAGCCACCATTAAGCACTTGCGGTTTGAAATGTCCCATTTCTTACGTTCGAGATCATATTTCATCCGCACTTCTGCATGATCTCGCTGTCGAGCAGTGAAATCAGTATCAGTCTCATTTTCTTCCTTTACCGGGTCCACTAGCTCAGTAGGAGACGGGGAGATAAGCGCTATCTCATTTTCAGACAGCGCAAGTGCTAGTTCATACTTCTCTCGCCATACCATATAGTTGCCCCCTTTAAGAGGTGGTATGTGTGAGATAAATGCCATTGGATTGAGTCCTGAAAAACACCGTCAGAGATAGTGAGAAAATATGATATCATAATTGCATGCTTTAATTTAACATTGGTCAAAATTAAAACATACAACATTCTTATACACTAATTCTACATTACCGTTGGGCAAAAATAGAATTAATGCATAGAAAAACTAATGAATAAACATTATAATATTACTATTATCAACGTTGGTCAGAAAAATAACAATATTATAATTTATTGAATAAAATTCAACTGCTCTTCAAATTAAATTCTCCTGTTGGTTCAAATTTAATTACAAGATAATAAACTTTAACATTGCAGCGGAAACATAAAAAAATTCTTTATCTACTTTTCAGAAGCATTTCACTGTACTCAACTACTCTCTTAAAAAATTATTCTATTGGTTCAAATTTTGACAGAGATTTAAACTAGACAAAAAACATCAAAAATTTGCTTCTGAAAATAATAAAACTTTAACAGTGAATTTACTGTGCATTTAGTCCAAAGGCCCAGCTCAAAAACCGGCCTGCGGCCCACTCGCTCGCGTGCCCACGCATCGGCCCATGGCCTAGCGCGCGCTGCTACACTCCCCCGCGCCCAGGCCGCAACCTAGGCCTGGGCCAGGATTTCACCTCCCCGCCTGGGCCGAAATCGATCCGGTTGCTACCACCTGTTGTATGCAATCGGACGGACTTCCACGCATTTCTCTGGATCAAAACCCCCGGCCAGCCGCGCTCCCCCAGAACCCTAGCTCATTTGCTCCTCCCCCTTCTCTCTCTAGTGCTCTGCGCAGCAGCGACGGCCACCCGCAGTGCAGCTGAAGAAGAAGTGCGCCACCGCCGTAGGTGCCCTCGCCGGAGCACGCGCTCCCCAGTGGGTGAGCGCGCCGCCTGAAAGCTCTAGTTTGGTTTTGGTGAATTGATGAAACCCTAAGTGCTAACCTAGTTTATCAAAGTAATTATGAGATAGGTAGCACTACTCCAAGTGGTGAAGCAAATGAAGATCATAACATGACGATGGTGTTGCCATGGTGATGATCAAGTGCTTGGACTTGGAAAAGAAGAAAGAAAAACAAAAGGTCCAAGGCAAAGGTATAAATAGTAGGAGCCATTTTATTTTGGTGATCGAGACACTTAATGAGTGTGATCACATTTAGGATCGATAGTCGTACTATTAAGAGGGGTGAAACTCGTATCGAAATGCGGTTATCAAAGTGCCAGTAGATGCTCAAACTCATTGTATATGCATTTAGGATCTAGTGGAGTGCTAACACCCTTGAAAATGTTGGTGAAACTAACACACATGTGCACAAGGTGATACACTTGGTGGTTGGCACATTTGAGTAAGGGTAAGAAACTTCACAGGCGGAGTGTCCACCCGTAGAGTACGAATAGTCCGATGGTGCCATCGGCGCCTTGCATAGAAAAGACAGGATTTCACAGAGTGCACCGAACGCTGGCCTCAACTGGACCGGTGCGTCTGGTCAGTGGAAGTAGTGAAGACGCTGGCGTCGGTATTCGACCGGACGCTGGGTCACTTCGTGACCGGATGCTGACGGGGTGCGTTCGGTCCTACTGACGTGGCAGCGCACAGAGAAGAGGGTGACTAACCAGACGCTGGGTGAGTCCGGTCATGGGTGACCGAACGTGTTCGGTCGTGAATTTCCACCTCTAGAAGCTTACTGGAAGTGACCGGACGCTGGGGTCCTGCGTCCGATCGGGCATGACCGGACGAGTCCGGTCGCGAGTGGAACCTTAATGGAAATGATCGAACGCTGGGGTCCTACGTCCGGTCACTTTAAGCAGTACGTTCGGTCACAACTTAAATGTACTAATGACCGTTGAGATCGGGCGATCAACATTTGAAGTAGGGGACACGTGGCGTGCGTCGCGCGACCGGACGCTGGGGTCCTGCGTCCGGTCAAACCGACCGGTGCGTCCGATCGCCCCGATTTTCAACGGACTAAAGAGCCACCGACTCTATTTCATGGGAGCTTCTATTTAAGCCCCATGACCGGTTCAAGCTCACTCTCTTGACCATTTGCATTGACATAGCAACCTTGTGAGCTTAGCCAAAGCCCTCCCACTCATCTCCATCATAGATTGAACATCTTTGTGAGATTGAGAGTGAATCCAAGTGCATTGCTTGAGTGTTTGCATCTAGAGGCACTTGGTGTTCGTGTTTCGCTGTAGGATTCACTTGTTACTCTTGGTGGTTGCCGCCACCTAGACGGCTTGGAGCAGCGAGGATCATCGAGCAGAGGTTGATGATTGTCTCCGACTTCGATTGTGGTGATTGTGAAGGGTTCTTGACCTTTTCCCAGCGGAGAGCCAAAAGATACTCTAGTGAATTGCTCGTGGCTTATGTGGTCCTCATCTTGTGTTGGTTGTGCGGCAACCTATTGAGGGTTTTGTGTGTGGTGCCAATTAGCGCGTGAACCTCAAAGTGAGTGAATCGCCACAACGAGGACTAGCTTGTCGGCAAGCAAGTGAACCTCGGTAAAAAATCATTGTGTCATCAATTTGATTCCGAGGTGATTGGTCTTCATTGATATTGATTCTTGTGATTGATTGGTTCATTTCTCGGCACAGCGATATAACCATCTTACTCTCTTTACATTACCGCAAACTAGTTATCAAGCTTTTTAGTGTAGCTAGTTGTGAGAGCTTGTTAGTTTGGTTAGTATGACTCTTTAGTCAGTCTTTGAGAGCACACTAACACTGTGTGAAAAGAAACTATAGAAACTAGAATTGTGGTAGGTGGCTTGCATTTTTAGTAGGCTAGCGCAACACTTGTTTCACCTCATAATTGTCTATCCGGTTTGTTAAGTGTTGTTGTAGAAATCATTTAATAGGCTATTTACCCCCCTCTAGCCATTAGGACCTTTCACCGCCGTCGAGCGGTCCTGTGACGGTGCCCTCGGCCGGGGCTCGCGTGGCTCAGCCATCTCCCCGCGTGCCGGCGACGGGTGCTTCTTCCCGCGCGCGGCGGTGTCGACGGTGGTGAAGAAAACTGGGTAGGTTCCTTCCCCTCTCCGCCCGTTCCCTTCTTGGGTTAGTGTTAGGGTTTTGGGTTAGGGTTTTGATCCGTTTCTACAAATCGAATCCCCTTCTTCTACTCTTTTACTCGGTTTTCTAGATCTACACGCTAGTGTAGGCGCTCTGATACCATTGATAGATTAACAGGATCATCTAACAGTAGATCTAGCGGGTATAACTTGCATTTAGGATAAATGCAAACCCTAGAACATAAGCTAATACGAGAAACAGAGAGAGAGAGGGGTGCGGAGATGCAAACCATCGGCCGCCTTCGAGGAAAACGAGCTGGCCATCGCGTCGGTGTCGGTGACACGGTGGAGGCGCGGTCGCAGGGCAGCGGTGCTGAGGCGGCGGTGAAGCCGTGGCGGTGCTTCCCGTCGCTGGCAACGCCCCCTCTCTAGATCTGCTAGGGTTAGGATGTAGGTGGGATTATAGCGGCGCAGGTAAATCTCATGCCTTGTGCCCCGGCCCCCACCTCTCTTTTTATGGTGCTGTGCGACGAGGGCCCACCAATCATGGAGCGGTTGGGCGCCCCCGATCAGGGCGCGGATCCAAGGGCCAATTGGTGGAGATCAATCTAACAGTATGATGTATCTTTAGTTCTTTACCGGTTCAAATATTCTATATCACCAGTTTCTCTGCTACAGTAATTATTTGGTTTGTTATGCCCCTGCGGAATTAATAGCGTGCAGTTTCACAATCGAAGTCACGTCCCTTGCAATCGTTATGTATTATTACTGTCCGGTAATTTCTTTTATCTAAAGTTGCCATGTAATGTTTCTTCTCTGAACTATTACCAGTTTCTGAAGAAGACATGCGGGAGGCGCGGCGGAGCGCGGTCGTGGAACGTAGTATCACCGTGAGTTTTTTTTAATCTACAGCGATTGGAGTGAAACGAAGGGAGCGGATAAGAACGAATAGTACGGGGCCTTGTTTAGATTGCAAATTTTTACAATCTGGACACTGTAGCATGTTTCGTTTGTATTTGACAAACTTTGTCCGATCATGGACTAACTAGGCTCCAAAGATTCGTCTCGTGATTTACAACCAAACTGTATAATTAGTTATTTTTTTACCTACATTTAATGCTCCATGCATGCGTCCAAAAAATTGATATGATGAAGAGAGAGTAAAAAAATTTAGAATCGGTAATCTAAACCAGGCCTAGATAACGTTCGAAACATCAGGTCCACTAACCGAGGCGCCGGACGCGGAGCCGCGGACGTCTAGCATTACCGAAACAAACAGCCCGGAGTACTGTGTACTACGGAGTATGGTTTAGGATGTGAAGCATTGGACTCAACTGGAGAGTGGACAACCTTTCATTTCCCAAACTATTCGTGGAACAGAGCTCTGACAGGAGTGCCTGTACTGTACTGTACAGGCATCATCTCAGCTCCCAACCTATAAGAATCACATCGTGAGATTGACCAGCTTTACGCCCCACGCGTTGGGCAGCAAGATCAGTCGCACTGCATTCCTACAGTTTCCCCCCTGAACCACAAATCGATCGGATCCCGACGTGACTGCTCGACGGATCGCGCGCTAACTGCAACTTGGCCTTCTTGAGCTCGTCGAGCTTCGCTGGGCACGCGCCATGAGCGCGAAGCCGGCGCCGCCGGCCCCGTGGCCGCTCGCGAAAGGCTGCAGCTGCAGGAGATCTAAAGCTCGTCGTGGGGGCCAGCGGGCCCGTTGGCTGCCGCGTGGTTCCGCAGGTACCCGATGGCGAGGTTGGCGTGCATCGCGGCGCCGTACGGGAGCGCGTCGTCGTCGACGAGGAAGTGCGGCGAGTGCGCGGCGTGGACGGCCCCGATCGCCTCGTTCCCGATCCCGACGAAGTAGAAGTGCGAGGCCGGGACGGCCTCCGAGAAGGACGCGAAGTCCTCGCTCCCCATGCACGGCTCCATGGCGCCCCGGACGGCGCCCGCGCCGACCGTCTCGGCGGCGACGGCCTCGAAGTGCGCGTGCAGCGAGGCGGCGTTCACCGTCGGGGGAAGCAGCGGGCTCCCGCCGGCGCCGAAGTCCACGGACGCCGCGCACCGGTGCACCGCGGCCTGCGCCACGACCACCTCCTCGATCCGCCGCTTCAGCCGCATGAAGCCCTCGCTGGAGAAGCACCGGAACGTGCCGCCGATCGTCACCGAGTCCGGGATCACGTTGAACGCGCCGCCGCCCTGGAACCTCGTCACCGTCACCACCTGCGAGTCCAGCGGGTCGGCCTCCCGCGAGACCAGGCTCTGCAGGCTGAGGACGACGCTGGAGGCTGCCACCACGGGGTCCACGGTGCTGTGGGGGGCGGCGGCGTGGCCGCCGACCCCGGTAATCACCGCCTCGAAGAACCCGCACCCGGCCAGCAGCGGGCCGGCCCTGGAGCCCACCACGCCGGTGGGGAGCATCACGCTGACGTGGAACCCGAATATGGCCTCGACGTTCTCCACGGCGCCCGCCTCCACCATCTTCTTGGCGCCAATGCCGACCTCCTCGCCCGGCTGGAAAAGGAGGACTACTGTGCCCTGAGAAAAAAAAAATTCAAACCTTTAGCAATATCAATTTCTTGCTCTCCTTGAGCAGCAACAACGAAACTACAAAACTTAAGCCAGAACGACGCGAGAACGTGTCTACAACTACAAATTTGGTAATGATCTCATTTTTTTTTCTTTTGCATGTTACAAGCAAATCGATCTATGGGTTGAGCTGCCAGGAAACAAGACTAGTAGCTAGAATCCCAGAGGAATAGATAACTGAAGCACTACTTCAATAGTATTTTTTAGCGAACGAACAATGTTTTTCTCACAATAAATCAGTATAAACCAAATTTCAGCGAAACAAACAGGACCATGAGACCTCTATATAGACGGTTACTAACTTACTATTCCACACTCAATGTAAAATTCTCTTTCTTCACATCCGTATTTTTTATAGGATTGCCCTATCTTCGTCTCTAGTTTCGTGAGCTCCTATGAGCTTCTAAGATCACTTTGGAACATAGGAATTTTACAAAAATCATATAAAAATTTTACGTAAGAAACACAGAAAATAAGAAAAAGTCTCATATTCCAGAGAGGACCTTAGGGTTTGGGTTTTTAGAGAAGGTGTACTTGTCTCTAACAGAACTAGAGAGAGACCAGGGTGACAAGTAGTAGTCTGTGATAGCAGGGCGACACTGGACGATTGGTTGAGAGGTGGAGGGCGGGGACAACCAGAACTAATGATTTAGCAACGAGGCGAGTGCCCACCGATGTTAAGAAAAGAGAGGATCTAGGAGAAAGGAGGCAAGGCTAAACAGGGCTCAAGGGTGGGCCTTCTTGGTGCCGACGAGCAGTGGACGACAGTTTGGTGTAAGACGCGCACACACAAAATAAATGGATAAATTGGAGAAAGTAGAGAAGATATAAAGGTCAAGAGAGAGGATTGGTCGTAACTACAATATCTAATGGCTTAAAATGCAGGTGTGAAAGGAAACCTGGATATAAAAATGGTACATGAGAGGAACTTCAAATCATATCCACAAATATCATAGTCACGTACTCTATCAATATCATTTCTTCGTGCATCCATTATTAGTTTATTACTCTTATCCATGCCTAGTTTAAGTTCATGGGAAGACGACTCTTCGTCGAGAGCTAGCTAGAACTACTAAAACTTGCACCTTTCTATTAGAAGGGACCATTCTCTCAAATCAAAATCAATTGGGCATCTACTCTAGGAAAACGTCTATACCATTTGGTAGGGCTCGGGCTCTAACTCCTTGTGTGGAGCAACTTCTCTAATGGAGTTAGAGCCGTTTTGGAAAACGTGTGGAGAAAACTACATCAGCGGTTGTTTTGTAATAATTTGTATTAGGTTTGTGAGGAGCTAGAAAAAAACACTTTTTTGGCTTTAGTTCCTCTGGACAAAAATGGCTCCGACTCCTCCACGCTCCTCTTAAGAAGCTGCTTAATTGATTTTCTCCACACAAACCTAATACAAATTATTTGGCAGAGCTCCTTGCAAGGAGGCGCAAGAATCTGGGCCTGAAGCCCTGCCAAGTACTCCATCTATTTCAAAATATTATATACTTCCTTCATCCTGAAATAAGTGTCACTACATGATACATGCCGGTCAAACTTTCTTGAATTTGATTAGGTTTTACAAAATATCAGCAACAGTTTATCTAATGATACTAAATATGCATCGTAAATATTAATATTTTTATACGTTCGATCAAAGTTAAAAATATTTAACTTCTCAAGAAGTAAGAATGACACATATTATAAGACGGAGTAATCAGTCTTACAAGATGTTTGACACAAATATTTGACATGATTAGAACATAAAAGGTTACATCGATGGATTCACGTTACGCAGATCTTTAATTACGAGATGTTTTTATTATAAGCCACTTTTTTTTTATAGCAACTGAGGATATCAAGAGTAATCAGTAGTTTCATCCATAGACTCGCACGTCTTCGTCGACAAACATCGTACCCGTGAAACTGAGGCACAGTAGAAAAAGATGTCTGGCGTGTCGCCCCGGGAATCTTTTAGTTCTTGTTGCGAGGAGAAATTCCATTTGATGTGCACGTTTTAGCAGAAAAGGTCAGACCATGCCACGTGTGTGTGCTTAGTCCAATACGGGCCAATTTTAAAGGTGTCTTACAAGATTTTAAACAGTAGGCTAATTTTATTTAGCGGCCGCACACTTGAAAGCTACAGGATATAATAGCAGCTATTCGTTTATTGCTTTTATAAAAAAAAGGTAAAAACGCTTAATTAATTATACACAAAAGTACGGAAATAAGAGATTTTATAAGCGAAAATAGTCAAATACATGTCAAGACTCTACGAGAACATGTTTATAGGTACATTACTTCCCAGTCATTTAACCAATTAGAATTCAACAATAAACAACTCAATAATTGTTTAATAGTTCTTTATACCATTTACTCTCTCAATTCTAAACTATGTATCTAGACATACGTTATATATATCTAGATATATAATAAAATTGATGTACCAAAAAATCAAAGTGACTTATAATTTGAAACGGAAGGAGTACTGTGTAAAGAACACGACAGAGATATATAGATTATAGTCATCTAGAGTAAATAATGAGTATTTGCCTCGGTTAAGATTAGCACCACTAAAAAAAGTATTGCACTAGGCGCTCAAAAAGTTTTGCACCACCAAACTATAAACGGTGCTAGTACGGGCTATTTAGAACCTTGCATTCATATTTCATACAAATAGGCCACTGAACTAAAGAAATAGACTAACCCATGCATCCCTAAAATTTTCAAAGTAGACCACTCAGATATGGATGCAATGAGTTGAATGCAAAGATCACAAACTTGTCCAACGACAGCTCTAACGTGAACACCCATTCACGTGGTGGCTAAACTACATTACGTTCACATACTGACTCACAATCATGTGAAAAACTAATTAAGCTATCCTCTACAAACTCGTCATCTAAACGTAGTTCAACTCTAGTGCTGCTATGTCTTCACGGGAGCTTTGGTAATATTTTTCGAAAAAGAGCTTCGGTGATAACAGTGACACGCTTGGAACACGTTACGGATATGTAGATTCAAGCGGAACCAGAAATTAACTTGAAATGCCGCACCGTCGCGAGGTCATGCATGTTTTTGATCGGGCATAGCCACCAGTTTAATTGCTTTTAGACAAGATAAGCTTTTTTTATTGATATCAAAACAAATAGATGAGAGTTGGTCCACTGAGGAGACAAAGCAAATCCAAGCGCTAAATCGCCTTCTACTAAAAGAGGACACAACAAAGAAAAATGTTGAGAGGGCTTGGCAGCTTCATCTCGATCGCTTTAAAGGGGAGCACAGAGATCTCAAGCATCAGCAGGAAAATGACTTTGAAACAAACCATACTGGCGCTAACCACTAACTGATGAAACCTGCATACACGCCGAATATGCAAGCGCACAACGTGACAACTAAAGGACTCCAATCAGGCGACCGAAAATCCAGCGAACTATTACAGGGTGTGACGCGTGCTGGTTACTCGACGTCGACGACAACCAGACCAGATGCGGGAGGGACAGATATTATAAGATGCCGTTGGAACGATGCGCGAGAGGCAGTTGTGTGACAGTGAAGGGAGGAAGAAGAAGGCGAGCGAGAGGTTCAAGTTGCGACCAACACCAACCTGCAGGTCGTGGCGGCGCTCATGGAGGATCCTGGCGGCGCCGAGCAGCATTGCGGTGTGCGCGTCGTGGCCGCAGGCGTGCATCTTCCGGGCCACCTTGCTCTTGTGCTCCCACTCCACTTCCTCCTGATCAACAGAAATTGAAAACAGGTAGATTATTTAGAGGCCATGGAAAGCTAAGTTTGATTAGCGAGTACTATCTGCAAGATCGATCGGAGCAAGCTGAGCAGTTCGGGTCAACATGCTGAGGTTAACACATGTGCTGGATACGACCTGATGCTTCCTGTTTGGATAAACTTTATTCACCGGTTGTGAGTTGTTCACCTGTACAATTGTACTTGTCCTCCCCCAAAGTGTATAGTAGTAGTATATTCAAAGATGTTAGCTTGCTTGACTTTGCACTTTACACGACGAAAAACACTTCGACCCGTACGCATGACTTCTGCAAAGTTTTATTTCTACATAACGCTCTCGCCATTCCTCCCTTTTTCGTTTTCTTTGTTTGAGATGAAACCATTTGTAGTACCCTTCTAGTAGGTCTGCAGCTGTTCCAATGGCACTAGCACGGCAAAACGTCCTCCCTAGGCGCCTGAATTTGCTGCGGAAAGGCTAATTTGTGGGAATGGGATGAATCGAACCTCGACTGTCCATCCCCGAATCGAATTTTAAGAACAACGGGGAGCAAGCGCGTAGTGTTAGTACCTGCAGCGGGAGCGCGTCCATGTCGGCGCGCAGCGCGACGAACGGCGGTCCCCCGGTGCCGACGGCCGCGACGACGCCCGTCCCGGCGACCGGGTGCCTGTACGCGACGCCCATCGCGTCGAGCTCCCTCCGGACCAGCGCGCTCGTCTCGTGCTCCTGGAACGCCAGCTCGGGCCGCTCGTGGATGGCCCGCCTGACGCCGGCCATCCACGCCGCGAACTCCTCGCGCTGCGCCCGCCGCAGCACGTCGCCGCTGTCCGCGCCCGCGGAGGAGGCGCCGACGAGGCACGCGGCGACGACGGCGAGGGCGAGCAGCAGGGCGCCGGCGATTGCGCTTGCGCGCGGCGGCCTCGGCGCGGGCGCGGCCATCGGGGACGGACGGGACGGGGGGGCTGGCTTTGTGGCGCGGGCGGCGTCCGCGCGTTCCTGGTGGGTTATATACACGCGTCTGCGGCGCCCGCGCGCGACGTGTGCGCTGCGTTTATCTGTATATATGGCCCTGTTTGTTGCGCTGCCTCCGTTCCGTTCCTTGTCTCCGGAGCCGTGGGATCGCCGGGACGCCGGCGCACGTGGCCAACGTGCCCTGGGCGAGCGCCCAGCCGCGCTGGATTTCAGAGCACGTGGATTGTGACCGGCAGGCAGATTCTCCTCCAGGCAACGATCGTGACCCAGTCGGACGAAATCCTACGCCTGGGATTGCTTGTCTGACCAGGCGTTGCCTGGGAGGCTTGAATCCAAACAAGCCGTGCTGCGTGGAGGAAAGGAAAGGCTGAGGCCGCCGATAGATACGGCCGTGGCGGCGTGACGTCGTAGGCACGGTCCTCACCCAATTTTTTTTCCGTCGGTATGGCACAAGTCTTGCGGCCTGACGAGGGAACCTTGTCACGGGTCACGAGTCACGAGTCGTGCACCGGCCGCCACCCGCGCACGCGCCGCCCTAGTTCTGTGGCTCATCGGACGCTGCTGCTCTAGGAGTTCTGGCTGGGACTTGTGCAACAGGTGACGGAAACGCACGTATTTTGACCTCTGCGTTACCCGGCGCTCGATCGAGTTGACAAGTTCAGGTTGGATTTTGGCAGCGGCCCGCGTGGAATTATTTGCACCATGGCTTCATTCATTTTTGCATGTGAATGAAGAATGACAAAACTAGTATGGTGTGCTTGACGTTAATTTTCCTGTGTAACTACCCGCCACTTCAGCATTCTGTCTGCTAATTAGTAAGTCCTAACCAAGTTGGTAATCGCTGAATGTGTCAAAGCACGCAGCTTGCGAAAAATGACAAAATGTGGCAATGGAATAGAGACAGCCTCGTTAACAGGACTAGAGACCAGAGACTAAAAGAGGAACTAAATAACATGTTTGGTTTCAAGGATTAAAAGGAACTAAAGGGCTGAACAAAGACTAAAATATCATTCTTCTTCCTTTGGACAGAGATAAGGGAGGAGAGGGATAAAGGGATAAGGGCTGTAAAGTTGATCCATTAGTCCTAAAAAGCCTCTCTCAAAGAACTAGTGGACTAGAGACTAAAAGTCCCTCCAATAGTCTCTCCTGTTTGATTAAAAGGGACTAAAAGTGACTAATAAGTAGTCTCTAGTCTCTAGTCCCATGGAACCAAACCACCCTTAATAAGCTGAGAGTTCATGGCTTGGTTGTCGTTGTTGTGTCAACGTCTTAAATCCCTTCAACCAAGTCTCCAACTAACGAACTTAATATCATGGTGAGTTTGATTTGATACACGAATTAGCCTACAAGAATTAGCCACTCATGAAATGTGGGACAATATGCTTCAACAGAAAAGCCAGAAACAATGCTCATATGCAGTGCACCTTACTTATAGTCAGTCAGGTGGTAAACACTAAACAGTGCGCCTCGAATTGTTTCTAAGACTGTGCAAACATGTTTCACCATGAGGAACGCATTGAGACCGTGTGCACATAGCCTTTGGGTCAATAACTATGGGACGAGAGTAGCGAGGACTAAATAAATAGACCGGGTCATTATTTCAGCCGCACCAACGTTAGCGCATCATCAAGCCTTGTTTAGATTATAAATTTGTGCAATCTGGACACTGTAGCATATTTTGTTTGTATTTGACAAACTTTATCCGATCATAGACTAATTAGGTTTAAAAGATTCGTCTCGTGATTTACAACTAAACTGTGCAATTAATTATTTTTTTTACCTACATTTAATGCTCCATGCATGTGTCAAAAAATTGATGTGATGAAGAGAGAGTGAAAAAACTTGGAATTTTGATGAGATCTAAACAAGTCCCAAGAAACAGCAAGCGGTGTGTTCGGCTGGCCACTTTTGGCTGGCTGGACTTCTTTTTTTTTCAGACGGAGCAGTGTTTTTCTCTCGCTATTCTCCTCCTGCTACAGTACTTTTGAGATGCTACAGTGTCATTTTAATGCCAGCCGAACACTGCCCAGGGCACCAGGCGCCCACTCCTCGTGCGCATTCATCTCGCTGCCGCGCCTGCTGCTCTGCGCTGTGCGCTCTGTCCGGCCCGGTCTGCAGCAATACGTGCCCGAGCAAGGGCGCGGCAGGAGTGCAGGACGTCCCATTCCGCCATCGTTTTCCACGTGAGCATGCGCGCGCGTGCAAACAGAAACAGCGCACCAGGCCAGGCCAGGACGTGATCTCCCCCTTGTTTTTTTGCTTCCAGACTCTTGCACCATGTCGGCATCAATAATTCAGGGCCATTGTAAGCAGCTACCACCACCGTTTCTCTCAGAGGACGTACAGTAGTACCCTGGCGCCCGGACGCCTCAGGCTGCGCATCAAATTCTTGGCGTCGAGTTGCGGCTGCGTCAGCGGGTAACATGAGGAGCAGGCATTGTTTGCACTGGCCAATGGGCAATTGTGTGTGTGTGTGTGGGTGGGTGGGTGGGTGGGGGGGGGATTGTGATGTTAACAAGGTGCTGCGGCCTCCTATTCCTTATCGGCGTCTTAGCGATCGGTTGATGTAATTGAGCGGCAGCAAAAGGACGAGCAACTTACACAACGCAGACACAGCGAACCCGCTTCTCCCTGTGGTAACGCTTCGGGGGCCCATCCGCCCCCCTGCTGGTGGTGAGGAGGAGCAGGTATGTCCTTTAGCAGATCTACTGTTTTCTTAGGTTTTTATCTTTTTATTTTTCTTTCCTCTATAATGATTTAGGCTAGGTTTTGGTTGGCCGTTTCGATGTTTTCGATCCGGCTTTCTGTTTCATATCGGATCGCTAGTGGATGCGTCGTCGTCTTCGGTGATGGCATGCTCTTCCTGAAGAGATCGAGGTATGTTGGCATAGTCCTTCTCGAGGAGGGATTGGATCTATTTTTCCCTTTCTACGGGATCGTCTTTCCGGCCGCCGGTGATGCTACTGACGGTAGCGGATCTGCCCGTCCGGTTGCTAGTGGTGATGCTAGCGGCGTCAGATCTTATGTTCGGTTCAACCTTTAGAAGATATGGCCGATGTGCTCTCGGCGCCCTTTACTCCCCATAGTGGTTGAGCTTATCGTGCCTCTTTTGCGGTCTCCATGTTCGTGGAGTCTTCTGTTGGTAGGGATTGTGGTTCTCGGGTCTAGATCTGGTGTACTTCCATGGTCGCGATGGAGCTTCTTGAAGGGTTGTACGCCGCCGGACACGAGGAAGATGAAGTATAGGGACCTAGTGGTGTGCTTCAATGTAATTTTATTTTATGTTGAGGTCTCAGTTGTAAAATGAATTTTAATTTAATGAAATCCAGTCCCCTTCTAAAAAAAGGACGAGCAACTTGACGCAATGGCCGTGAACATAAACTTCAAATATGCGTATGATGAAATGATGATATTGTCCCTGCTATGTGGTTGGTACATCTAGCCCATTATAATATTATTATAATTTCGTGGTCTTTCAGTTCTGCCACGCCGATTCAGTCGATCGGTCACTCCGAAGTCTGAATCATTGTCCAGTGTTCGGTCGCTCGGTTTACAAATACAACCTGGATAGCGGGAATTGCATGCATCACGTGATTACCACTGCGAAGATATCAATGTAAAATGTAATTGTGTTCGTCTATGTAATTGACTGACTGCCATTTTAGACATGCAACGCGAAGTGCAGAAAAAATTTAGTTTGTTAGAAGAAGGCCAGCCAACTCGGTTTGCCATGTGCCCGTGGTAGGAAAAACATAGGGACAATCCTTTCAAAAAAAACATAGGGACATGAATGGTGGGGCACGGGGGCGGAGCTTCCTTAGGGTCAAAGTGGGCCATGCCCCCCATTATATAAACAATTTCTTAGTAAATACTTAATTTTACCATTCGGTTGACAAGAAAATGTTAATATGGCCCTTGTTATTGTTGATCACATTTGATTTGGCCCCCTCTATTCAAGTGTCCAAGCTCCGCAACCAAGGGGGGGACCCGTTTGTAGTTGGCCCAACTCATGTAAGCGGCCATTGTGCCGCAGAGGCCAACATTTTAAAATACAAAAATGGCTCATAAAGTTGGGGCCTATTGATCTTACTCGTCACGTGACAACCTTTTTATTTCTTATTTGTTGGTTTTCCTTTTTCCAAACAAGCACGGTTGACAATTATTTGTTAAAGTATGTTCATGCTTATAGAAGTAAACTAATGATATTATATTTTAGAGGTGATAATAGATAAAATCTGAATCATAGTCTATCATGATATTTCCAACCTTGCATCTTATCTTTCTATAAGTGTCGATAATATTCATGGTCAATGGTAGCACTGTAGCAGGGAAAATTTGGACCCATTAAAAGCATCTAGGCCCCTTGTTGGGTTTTGGTGATTAATGACAATACAAAATTACTATGACTAACATGTGTTTTGCAGAGGCAATTATGTTAGGTCATGGTAATGGTGATCGATTGAGCAATTGAGGTGGTCATGCCCCTACGATGGAAATCGTTTTGGTTTTCAAAGGATGAACGACAAGGTTAAGGATGACTAGTTCTAAGTGTCGATTGGAGTTGGAGTGACACTTGGAGTAGTTTAGGACTTTGTTTTTCCTTTGACCGTACTATTAAGGGGGGTATGAACGGGTAGCTTGACCTAGATAAGCCTAGTGAGTTAGGTATGATGCACACTTATTTAAACTAGCTCCAGGTAGCTCCTACATTTGCCTAAGATCTAATGGAGCAATCTTCATTCACTCATGATCGAGAGTTGAAGGTGAATGGAGGGTCAAATACTGACCGGACGCTGGCCCCGGTGCGACCGGACGCTGGCCGCAGGGTCCGGTCAGTTCATTTGATCAAGGGACTGCGTTCGGTGCGACCGGACGCTGGAGTGGTCAAGTGACCGGACGCTGAAAGGCAGCGTCCGGTCGACTCCAGTAAGGTTCCAGAGAAGAGAATCTGCGACCGGACGCGTCCG